TATCATCTTCAGGACATTGTTTACATTATACAAATAAGGATCGAGAAGTAGGCACAATAAAAAATCGTCACACCAGACCTCATCTCACGATCTCCAAATAATCATTAATTAACGGTCACTAATCACTACACACGTTTCTATCTTTATTGAGATCATCTTCTGGGCCTAGGATTTATAAACATTGTTTAAATTATACAAATACGTGTAAGATGTGAAAATTAATTTATACGATGATGTACGCAATATAGAAATTATAGGTTCATTCAAAGTATTTCTACTCAATTAAAGTTTGTGTTTTCTGTGTAGATGTGTCATTGTTTTGTGTCGTGTTGAGAAAGTTAGTGAGGAATAGTGAGGTAATATACAGATTATGCGTTTTAAAATTGCTTGTGTTGGCCCTCTATTCTATGGAAAATAGAAGGAAATCACCTGAATTCAGAAAAATAGCAGATTATTTAGAGATCGTGAAAGCGGACTTTTTTGATGTAGGTGTAAAAAAACATTTTCTTTTTCGTTTCCATCTTTATTGAGATCATTTTCATAGCCTGGGATTTATAAACGTTGTTTAAATTATACAAATACATGTAGGATGTGAAAAAATGAATTTATACAATGCTAGAAATTTTAGACTCAATCAAGTATTTGTACTCACTCAAAGTGTTTGTTTTCAGTGTAGATGTGTCATTATTGTGTGTCGTGTTGAGAGTGCCACTGAGATATTGATGTTTTATATTTATATACGTTGAATTTTAAAGGGGTGGAGAAGGAAGTAGGGATAGAAATTCATTTTTATATGAGGAGTCGGATTCTTTGTGGTGAAAGAAATTCCGAAAATGAGAAAGAATGGGTTCGGCTTGATTATCCTAGCAGCATTACATTGGCAGTGATAATTTCGGTAAAAAGCTAAATTTTTGAAGAATTAGACTATGTAGAAATGTTTGATGTGAGAAATTAATGATTGTTTTGTATGTTATATTATAGGTTTTGTGGGATGTGGTGATGATTATTGTTTAAATTATACAAATACGTGAAAGATGTGAAATTGAATTTACACAATGTTGTACGCAATATAGAAATTTTATCAATCGTTTTATCAATTCTATTAAACACAGACAAACTAACATACATTTCCATGCCATTCGTTCACGGTCTATCACAAAAATTCTTCTGATAACTTTCAAATAACATTAGAAAACTATAAAACCATTCACGCTCTTTTTTCCAAAATTAAAGATCTCACTCCAGTTACAAAATCAATTGTATAAATTGTCCGGCAACTTACATCGGAATTACATCCCAATATCTGGATAAGAGGGTAAAAAGACATCTCTATAATTGCAAAAATACCCAAACAAAATCGTACAGCACTGGCTACTCACCACTTTGAACCCCAATACAATTTCGACTTCAACAATCCACAAATATTAAACACAGAATAAAACAAACATAAACGTAACTTTTTAAAAATGGTTTACATTAGCAGAGATAAATACAGCATCAATTACAGAACAAACACATGTAAACTCAGTCGCGGCTATGCTATTATCATTAAACAAATTCAATATCAATTACATAAAAATAACACACAAACATATAAAATAATCATTACACTCCACACATCAAACAATTCTACATATTCTAATTCTTCAATTTATTTATCAATTTATCTCTCCTTTTCCTAATAATTCCCGTTTGTCATCCTGAAAGGCTGACCAGAGCCGAACGACAAACCATTACCCTTTTTTCCCATTGTCGGCCCCTTTCACCTCAAACAAGCCTACTCCTCATAGAAAAATGAATTTTTTCACTACTTGCAATTCAACAAAAGCCAACATATACAGGGTGAATTGCTACTCGTGCTACAAACTTCTCCAGTAGATTCTTCACCCTAAAATGAACAAAAAAGTTCATATTGTCCATGGTCCGATTCTCANGAGAATCGGACCATGGACAATATGAACTTTTTTGTTCATTTTAGGGTGAAGAATCTACTGGAGAAGTTTGTAGCACGAGTAGCAATTCACCCTGTATAAACACTCTACACACGACACACAACAATGACCCATCTACACCGAAAATACACACTTTGAGTGAGTACAAACACTTTGAATGAACCTAAAATTTCTATATTGCGTACATCATTGTACAAGTTCATTTTCGCATCTTACATGTATTTGTATAATTTAAACAATGTTTATAAATCCCAGGCCGTGAAGATGATCTCAATAAAGATTGAAACATGTTTAGTATTTAGTGACGGTTAATTAATGATTATTTGGAGATCGTGTGATGCCGTATAATCTGCATATGATTTATTGTCTGGCTCTTGATATGACCAAATATATAAGAATATGAAGAAGCCGGGTGAAAAACAGAAAAAAATTTTTTTTATTTAAATTGGCAGTAAATTGTAAAATTTAAATGGATTTTGTTTAAGTTTTGAGGATGTTGGCTAAACCGGTTTGAGCTTCCAGTGTTGCCGAACTGTATCCGCTGCGCCTTGTTTGCGGGCTGAAACCTTTAACCGTGTACAAATATACTCCATGGCTAATTGAATGTCGAAAGAACACTTTTAATAATCCGAAGTTAATTAACAACATTCATCAATCGGTTATTTGTAAAACAGATAATTTCCATAAACGGCGATAATATCGGTCCCTCGGGACGGCAAATAACGTAGGATTTGGGACAACGTTGTTTGTGACATGAAGCCCGTAAACATGCCATCAATGCTCCGCTTGTCTTTGCTGCGATAAGGAGTTTGGTCACGTTTCTGCTTAACAACTTCTAGCGCGAGTCTAATTTCCTTTTTGCAATGGCGAAATTTTCATTATATTTTCTATGAGAAATATAACTAGGTTGATGTTGGCGTATTTACGTTGTAACCTTTATAAAGATTTGTTTAAATAATAAAAATGAAAGGAAGATATTTCATTCAAATATTGGTTTAATAATTTTTTCTCGTTATTACTGGAATAAACTGAATACAAAAAGTCATTTCAATACGTTTCTTTAGAAGTCGATTTCAATGAGCTTTTTAAATTAAAATCTCTTACAACGTCTCGATTTCATTTCCATTGATGAAAGTCGCAAAACGAAGTGCATTGAAGGTCATTGGAATTCTTTCCCGAGTCAGAGCCAGTCTGAAAGGGGCCGGATCGTGAAGTTGGAACGTGATCAGCGCACGTTTTCAGGCACAGGTGAATTGGCCGTGCTTAAAAAGGCGATTAGGTAAACAAATGCAATTCGAACAGAATCACTGGTTGTTGTGAAAACATATAAAACATGGCATAAGCTTACATGCAAGACACATTTGTCAAATAAAATTACCGAAAAAAATGTAACAAATTAATTGTAAACGATTTCCAAAAAGCTCAGTTGTACAAGGACAATGACAAACGCCTAATGACGGACAGTCTGCCATGCGAGGTTGACACATGGACACGTACTTTTGGCCCCAAGTCCGGCATGTAGAGAAAAGTTATTTGATTGTCCCACCTAATTGAAGAGTGTGATTCCTTGGCTCCATATAGTGAGCGTGTAGGAGCACCGCACGATATGAGAATTGTGATTGAGCACGGCAGCAAGATCTGGGTTTCTTGTTCAGATTTTTGGAGGAAAACAGGATTGTTTTATTGTATATAGTAATGGGTGGTGTTTAGTAACCGTTAATTAATGATTATTTGGAGATCGTGAGATGCGGTCTGGTGTGACATAGGTTTAGAAAAACATTTTCTTTATCGTGCCAACGTTTCGATCTTTATTGAGATCATCTTCAGAGCTCAAAGCGATTGTGTTCTGTGTACATGTGTCATTATTGTACGCCGTGTTGAGAGTCATTGGCTAATAATTGGCAGTATAACCCCATTGTAAAAAATTTCTAGCGCTCCTTTACCCAATCCTCAGTATGCCTCAGCGGATTTGGCAGTGGCATGAATCAGACGGACTTATTTTTCCTAGGTTTTAGTTATTTGCATATTACATTTTCATTTTTAATCAAGCCATACTTCCAATACACATAATTCATCCACTACTGTCAGTTTTCTTCCCATGTGGATTACTTTTATAGGATTTGTTTATTTTTTTCTCTTTGACACTATTACAATTGTTGATTTATCTGGATTGAATTCCAATGGATTTTTTCAAAGGGCCACTTTTCAACGAGATTCATTCACCTTCCAATTTAGCTACCGAGTATAATGAAAAATGTTTTTTTTTGAGAATAGATTAAAAAAAATTAGATTCATGTCCGACCCTAATCAAGTAAGAAAATTTTTTAATTTAACTTAATTCAATTATATGTAGTTTACTGCCAATGTTGTGAATGTATTTCATAATTATATCATACATTAGTTGATTCGTTTTTAGGTAGGATAAAAAATGATAAGTATTGATATTAGCTATGAAAAAAATTACATAAATTAAAGACTTCCATTAAACTGATCAAATTTTCTATTTTAAATAATTCGTATTAATAAAGTTTTTTTGGGGGAGATTCAGAATTGTGTGTAAATTTCACATAACTAGGTACTGTTAGGCAAGTAACATAGTCATGTAATGGCAAGGTCCAGGTTAGGTAATAGGTCCAGAGTTTAGCAATGAAAGAGGAAAAGTTTCTTCAGTTCGATATTTGGCAATTATTTTTAACCATCAATTTATTGAGCTTCACGAACTAATCCTGTTTTTCTTTCCTAATAAAGATAAATAATGTAATTTAAGTAAATCCATACAATGTGGGGGTCTTGGGGGGAGGGAAGTATGTTTCCATAGGCTTCGGGGAAGACGAACTTTTGTAATCCAACCATATTTAATATGTGAATAAGGCTACATCCAAAATGACTGATACCAATTTAAAAAAAAGTTTGTGAAAAAGAGTTAGTAGTATTTTTGTACCAATACCAATTCTATTTGATTTTGACTTACAATAAAAGAAAAAGTAGAATTTTTAACTAATGATGAAGTTTAATATTTAATTAATAAATGTTTCTTTCTTTTTTCAGGATGTCGCATTCATAAATCCGGCCAATGTTGTCTTTGTTTACATGCTTGTGAGAGAGCTGGTACGCGGTGAGGAGGTGGAGAGCGAGCCACAGCTGCAAGCAGTCGTACTGACATGCCTCTACCTCAGCTACAGCTACATGGGCAACGAGATCTCATATCCTTTGAAGCCGTTCCTGGTCGAGGAGAGCAAAGACAGGTTCTGGGACAGGTGCCTGGTCATAGTCAACTCGCTCTCCAGGTCAATGCTCAGGATCAACTCGGAGCCGGCCTTCTTCACCGAGATCTTCACCGAGCTGAAGGCGTGCGGCTCCACGAACCAGGGTGTGCCCACCTCGGCCGCTTGACCCCCCCAACATCTCATGGTCCGTCTAAGCTTAGCCCAGGCGAGGGGCCGCCCAACCGTTCTCTAGATCTTCCCGGGGACTCTTTCCCCCTTATTCTAACACCGATCAATGAAATTTATCATAATTCACTCATTAATCCCGGGCCCCTAATTTATTTCTGTGATTTCTGTAAACCCTGCTTTAAACTTTTATTGATCAATTTTAATTAATTGAGTGAAATGTTGCTTTTTTAAAAGGATATATTTTAAATGAAAATCGTTGATAAATATTTGTTAAAATAATTTGTTAAAAAGCAATTCTACAAGCCAAAAGAATTCAATAAATTGATTAGTTTATGCTGTTACATTTTTCTATGGGAAAGTCAAGCTTAGCTCATGCATGACGATTGGTAGAAAGAAATTTCTAGGATAGCGAATACCGTTTATAGAGTTGATCAGGTCAGTCAGACACATTTTGTCAATAATCAATATTTAGTTTAGCTAATCTCTAAATGATTAAATTGGTGTTTTGTTACCAATTAATAAAGAGCTAGTCTAATGTGACATGGATTTGCTTTTATCCTTTTTATTCTCGGGTCCAATAGTGAACAAATGACTAATTCTAAGTCGAACCTAAATTAATACTGCATTAGGTGCATAGCAGATACTCAAAAAACATACTTCTGGTTATGTAGCGTGTGTATTATAAACAATTAAAATAAATATAATTAATAACAAACTATCTTCTAATTTGTGAAACAAAATTTATGATCAAATATTTTTAGCCAAATCTACATACGAATCTAATAAAAATGTTACTTTTATAAATTAAATTAGAATAAAAAGATAAATTACATTCAAAAATAACAATAAAAAAAGACGATAAGCAGGTGTGAAGAAAAGCACAACTGACCATATAATGTGTAAATATACATTTTTGTATTCATCAATATTTTTAATAAACTTTATTACTTTAAATGAACTTTAACTTTAAAGGTTTAAAATAACCCAAAATTACTTTTAAACTACTGTGCAAAGTTTATATTACAAATAGCTTTATGATTGTCATGATTTTATTACTAAATTTACATTTAATTTGTAATTTTGTTAAAATATAATGAAAGTATTAATTACAGTTTTATGAAAATAGATATTCAAAGTTGTAGGTGTTGGTATTGTTTTAAAATTAGTTTTGAAAATTAGTTGTCTGATCGTTCAGCTGATTCAATATGAAGAAGTATTTTAAAAAAATAGCATGTAAAAAAAATTTCTTGTCTCAAAATAAAGCTTCTTTTTTTCACTTCAATCATAAATTATAAACAATATTACAGTGTTTTCAATATAAAAGCAGTGCAGAAAAATGCAAATGCGTAACATAAATTTGAATGATTTACTAGTAACTTTAGTGAAGCTTTAAGTCAGGTAAAATGTTTAATGAAAATTTAATCTGTAAAAATTTTAATTTGAAGTTGAAACGGGCAAGACCACAATCAAAAGATTTACAAAAAATATCATATCTTCGTGAATGAAGATTGTGTTCCTCTTGACGTCTGTCTCAGAATTTAATGTAACTAATGAAAAAGTTTAATTGTAATGAATAATATTGAAGACTATCTAATGTCAAAACGTCCTTGTATTTTATAAAGTATGAATTCTGGATCATCCATTCAAGTCAAAAATTGTGATAAAAATTTTGACATTAAAAAGTGATTTTCAATTTACAAACTTATCATTGATATTATTTGATATTATTTAATTAAATGTTCAAAGTGAAATATTATAGACAAAGAGCCTGTTCAGCTTGAGTAGAAAAATATAACTGGCAATATAAATTGAACTATTAATGAAAGCAAATTCGTATCTACATTATATTTATCGATTTTGTTTAGCCTAGATTTATTGTACATTTCACATTCTTAATGGGAAGGTTTTAAATTATTAAAGATTAAAATATACTTGAAAAGTACACTTTATATTCTGCATAATTTAAAACAATAGGGGAAGGGTATATTGTGTGTTAGCCTGTCGGTTAAAAGGAGTACATTTTGTTGTGTGAATATAAAAAAGAATATATTTATTTATTTGTATGCAAATGTTTCTCTTTTTCATTTAATGTGTGTTCATTAATGATAGAGTTTAATGAATATAACACATTATATCTGTATATTGAATGATATGTTTGAATTGAATGTATATATGTGTATAGTGTAATTGTTTACTTAAGGTATATTTAATTCTTGATGTTTGATTTCATTCTTTGACATATGTACCCAATAGTTCACATGATGAACACTAAAATTAAAATTGTAATGATTTATTGTTTATGTGTGATCACCAGAATTGTTTTTAATTGATAATGCGCATTTTAATTGATTAATAATATTTATCTTTGTGTATGCATGTATGTTTCATAGCGATGATGGCTATAATGTTGAAGAGAGAATGCCAAAATGTGAAAAATACAATAAAACAAAAATTAAATATTACATGTCATTTAGTTTTGCCTTTGCTTTCTTTATATATTCTGCAAACAAAAAAGTAATTCTGCTATAATGACCATTTTAACTGTGTAATTGAGGGTATCCTAGAAAAGTAATAATGAATTAGGCTATGATAGGTGTAATTAGAAGAGATTAAAATGAATGTAATTTACTATATGAAAAGAAAGTTACCTCATTGAAAAGTATATGGTGGGTGTAGTTTAAATCATGAATTTTTATTATTATTTTCCTTTATATGAATGCCAACTTCCTCTTACTGCCGATTAAATTTAATTTGTTCTCGTGATCTGACCGTCCCCTTAGGAGTGGTAAATTAGTTCTAAACAGTTTTTAGGCCCGGAATTCACATCCTGCTCAAAATATTAAGGAGAACGAATATGATTAAGTATTTAAAAAGTAAAAAAAAAGAAAGAAAAAAATTAAAAAACCTCAAATAAAAAGGTTACAATTTTTCTATAAAGACTGTGTATATAAAGTTATAAGATTAATGTTGTTATTGTTACCAATCTGTAGAAAATCATAGAGTTAAAAAAGAGAAAAAATACATTCCTTAAACTCTTCATGCAAAATCAAAAGGATGTAATGACCAAATATTTACAGGGTATTTTTAAGCCTTGAATATAGTAGAATATTAACACAAACCATGTCCATTTTTGATTTTGAATTACAAATTTTAACTTATTTTTTATATTTTAAGGAAATCTTGTTTGTCATTTAAGTAATTGCTTTTATGTAAAAACATTGCTTGGAAATAGGGTATAATTCACCGTATTCAAGACAGAATACCCAATAAATTTTTGGTCAATACATTCTTAACAAAATGTTTTTTGTTTTTATTTTTCATTATTAAATAAATGTTTTTAATTTGACTTGTTTTGTCATGTTGATTTTTTTATTTATATTTAAAGGCTGGAAATGTGCAATATTTCTTTATATATTATATTTAAAAAACACTTTAAGGTAATGTAGGAAAATTTAGTAAGTAAGTGGTGGAAACTCTAGTCAGTCCTAAAAGGGCCCAATGACAGTTGTAAGCTGTTCAAAATGGGCATCCTGGAAGGGCCAATTATTGTAAATATAGTATGTAACAAAAGGAGTTGAGATTTAAACTGTTAACCTGCTAATTGGATGGCATATGCTTTTAACATCGGCATTTTTTCATAAATGAAAAATTGATAATGATGTGACGAAGGCCAAAATGAAACTCTTTGAATAGAAAAGAGAGAGACATTTTCAAAATAGGTTATTTTGTTGGTCAAATAAATGTGTCTTCTTATAATTTTGTAATATATTTTATGTTGGGCTTTTGAAGCATCTACCATCCACTTTTCTTTTTGTATGATAAATAGCAGTATAAAACTACAGTTTTTATTTCATCGGCCAAATAGTGTTAATTTAGCTTGTTGATAATTCTGTCAATCCTTTTATCACTTATATTGTTAATTATTTGTAAATTTTCATAGATTTGCTGTTTTCAGAGAGAGTGTGAGAGTTTGAGTGAAAGAAAGAAAGAGCGAAAGAAAAAAAAAATCATTTTACCAAAGAAATGTAAAATTCATTGTACATAATAATCGCATCGGGGGCATAAAAAGTTCACCTTTAAACCACAAAAACAAGACATTACTAATGTTTTTTATCAAAACTGTGATTTTTAATGATGTTAAAATGCAAATTGTGTAAATTCAGGAACAGGTATAAAGCTCAAAAGATGTTATTTTGGATAATGAGATTGTATGAATAACATTGCTTTGAAAGAACATTTCAAAAAAAGAAGAAATGATTTTAAACAAATCAGTCTATGCATTATATTAAGCGTACGTAAATTGTGTTAGAATTAGTTAGATATTAAGGACAACATAGAATCTATAAATTAATAGATCTTCTTGATATAATATGTATTTGATTTATCAAACATATTGTAGGAAATATAAATTGCTTCCTCTTCTTGTTTATTATAAAAGCCTTATAACTATCCACTCTAAAAACCACAGCAATTTTTTTTGTTAGTATCGTCTTACTAAGTGCGGTCCAGAAGCTCCGAGGACCCTGTGATACATAAGATAAAACAACATTTAAAAGGGTTGAGACTCTGTTGGGAAGAAGATTGTTGGCATGGGTTTTGAGAGTAAATCTTAATTCCCGGAGGTAAATAAATTTGACAATGGTACCTAATCGCTACATTCAATATTCCATTCAAATTGAATTCAATTGACATACAATGATAGAATGTAAACAATAAAGGCAATTAATGTTTACTTCAGGAAGAAGCAAATTATTGAAATTAATAACGAACCAATGACATGCGTTTTTTTTCAAATTTTTTCCATAACTTTGTCATTTTTGACCAATTTAAAATCGGAATGCACCATTGTTTCAGCGTATTAAATCTTAAATCCTTTAAAATGTGTTAGGATGTATAGAGCCGTATTTGAAATTTTGAAATGGAACTAGGTCTCAGGTATATGTAATTTTTCTTCAGAAAACGTAAAAATTTGAGACTAGACTAAAAAATATTAAACTCCCTAAACTTTTTTTTCTTGACAGCGTCATTGGTTTAATAGAAATTCAGCCGGGCCATATAAAAAGGACACCCTGTACATTGGTTAAAAATAGTATGCTTTTTAAACCATAGCCCCTTCAAATCTGTCAGATAGGCTAAACCCTCACGACTCGAAGGTGTTCCGTAAGTGTTGATCTTTCGCGCCGCCCTTAATGATAACGATATTAAAGTTATATTTTGTAATAAAATAACTAATTTAATTATTTTCTTGTATTAAACTGATTAAATCTCAAGTAACAAAATAAATGATATATGAATTATTGTTTTATCAAAGAAAATAATTTAAAAAACCAATTAACTAATTTGGAAAGTTGGTTCGAGAAAGGATTAAATTGAAATGATTTTCTTTATTAATATTAATGTTTAATTTAAAGAAGGTAAAAGGTTAGTAAAACTATATAAAGGCACTATATAAAGTCAAATTAATGCTGTGTTTTTACGTTTTTACATTTTAAGTCAACTATTAATCCTTATAGCTAAAAATAAATAAATACTTATACATATATTAATTTTAATTTATTGTATTCATAATTTGCAGAGGTAAACCATAATGTATCAAAGATTCAGATATTTTTTAAGTAGTCCTTTGCACAATTAATAACAAGTGTTAATAACTTTTTTCTATTTTCTTTGGCTTAAAATATGTTTTTGAATTTATGCCTGAATGATTCAGAATCGCAAGATAAGTTTTTTTAAATGTTGAAAACACTCAGTCTTTTATTTTAATTTTTTAGTATTCACAGCCGTCTACTTGAAAAGGAATGAAACTCCATTAGGCCGCGAGGAAAAGTGCCAGTGGAAGATTTATTACTAGCCCTTGTAGGTGCAACTTTTTTTTTCAATATGTTTTAAAATATTTTCCACATGAATATGTTTTAGATCTAAGTTCTGAAAAAAAAAATCAGGAAGTGTTCATATACGAGGAGTGCAATTGTTTATTTATTTAGGTTATTTCTTCGTTTTTACCAATGTCCGAGCTTGTCCCAAAAGTATTCAATGGGGTTCAAATAAGCAATACTGGCTGGGCATCTTAGGATGTAAATGTTGACTCTCAAAGGTACTTCGTAACACTGGTGGCAACAGTTGGTCTTTGCATTATTTTGCATAAACAAAAATTGCTAGCCAATAAACGGAGCAAATGGCACCACAACGAAGAATTTCTGCATTATATGATGTCCTATTAAAAATGTGTAACTACGGTTTTGCCTTCAAAGAAACTCCACTCCAGGCCATAACTGAACCACCTATGAATGCCGAACGACAATGTTGCATTATCTGTAGAACCCTACTGGTGCTCAATAAACTCAATGACGTCCATCTGGTGAATGGAGAGAAAACGAATATTGTCTGAAAATTAAACATTCCTTCATTACTGTTGGTGTCCCTTGCAAACTTGCAAACTCTAAGCGGTTCCGATGATGGTCTCTGGTAAGCGCTGGACCTATTTCTGGCTGTATGGAATGTACACTCACTTCTGCAAGTCTCCTTCATAGTGTTTCAGCACATATATCCCGCACAGTTTGAAATCTTTGAGACATTTCAGAAGTAATTGAAAAGAGATGTCTCAGAGTGTGAAATCTGATAAATTGGTCATCAGTTGGTCCCTTGCCCCTTGGGCGTCTCGATCCTGGTCTCTGAGTACACCTTTCAATTTCCTGGTACCACTGAAAGCCTGGCAATTGTCATTTTAGGCAAATTTGAAACTCTTGCAGTGTAATGCACGGGCAACTTGCTCACTGATTATGGGCATTTTTGCAAGTGTTTTGTTTTGTGCCACCAACACAAAAGTGAATAAAGGCATTTTTAAGGAATTAAATGCTCTTGATGATGATTTACATTGTGGAGATTTTATATCAAATTATGAATTAAGCAGTTTTGCCTAACTACTGGCCACAAAAACAAATGTTTTCAGTCTAATTATAATTATTAAATCATTTTTAAAGTAGTAAAACAAAAAACATGGCCAAAACATCAAATTTAAAAAAAAATCCAAATTTCATAGTGCGCCACTTTTTTTTGTGGAGCAGTATATTTCCTTTGAGAGCTTTGCACAAAACGAAGCAGAAACTTTTTGTCTTTGGATGTTTTGGAGAAACATCTTTTCAGAGCTTTGATGTTTTTATTTTGTCAGACAGGCCACTTGGATTCCCAAGAAGTATCATTCAAAAGCTCTGAAAAGTCAAAATGATACTTTTATTTCGAATAAATCTACTGCTTGAACCCCCAGTTTATTTTAAAGTGATTTTTGGTAAACAGTGATCCAGCAACTTTACTATTTCTGACAGTATTTTACATGAAACTGGTTGAGGGTATACAAAAATATTTTGGTATCCATTTCAGTTCGAACTCAATTTAAAAAAAAAAATCTGCAATATTCATAAATTATTATTCAGAATACTATACAATTAAATTCTGGGAAGTGCTTTTACTCTCTTTGATGCTGTGGAGTAAAGATAATTGAAAGTGGTCCCTTTGAAAGGAGTAAAAAGGCCATCCATTAAAAAATCAATCTTTCAATCACACTTAATGACTTACATCAATCACCCTTTGGAAAAAAAAATTCTAGCCACTCTTTGATATGGCACAATTATTGCTGCCTACCTTCACCTTTTTGACTATTTATTTAAAGCAACATTAAAATTTCATAGATGTTTTACTTCCTCTGCCATATTGGAGGGCTTAAGTCTTCCAGCCATTCAGTAAATAAGCGATCAAATTTTGTCCTGTGAAACAGACTCCCATTCTTCAGCAAGAGCGGTATAAATCTGTACAATTCTTGTTGAGGTGGCAAACAATGTCTACCTATCCGTCCCCATCATGTTCCGTAATACAGTATTCATGTCAGGTGCACTGGTCAATTCATTGTGGTAATCCCTACACCCACCTGGTCATCTGATTGTCACAAACCAAACCGGCACTCATCTGTGAAGAGAACAGCCATTCAAGTGTCCAAGCGAGATGCTGATTTGGGAAGTCCTTTTCTATGCCTCTCGAGTAATAGAGAACCTGATGCAGTACTCATTCTCACGAAGTCTTTTGAAAACTGTTTTAGAGCTCACCCTTACGTTAAGGACTGTTTGGAGTTGACTACCTATCAAGGAAGCTGTTTGACGGTTCCGTAAGTAATAATAAAATGATCTTCTCAAGCCGTTCAACATGATCTACTACTTCTACCTTGTACTACCTTCTCTTTGATCCAGATATCTGATGGCCCTAAACTGCTGTAGAGACCCATGGATTGTAGAGTGCATCACATCCAGGACTTGGGCTTTGTAACAGACACTTTCAACATTTTGGCTTTCTTTTGGCGTCCACTGTGGCCAAAACATATGCCCAGGCGATATCTTCGTTTCCAACAAAGCTTTTAAAATAGCAATTGATGATTACTTAATTACTCAAAATTACTGTTTAGTCAAAGAAAATAATTTTAAAAAACCAATTAACTCATTCGGAAAGTTGGCTCAGGAAAGGATTAAATTGAACTGATTTTCTTTAAGTATTATCTAAAGTGCGTAAAAGGTTAATAGCAATCTATAAAGATAAACAAGTTATTAATGTTGTGTTTTTACATTTTAAGTCAACTATTAATCTTTATACCTAGTTATTATGTAAAATAAACAAATAAATACAACGGTTCGGTTTGTTTTTGTTGTTGAGCATCTATTGTATTGGGAGTGTGGTGGCTGAGTCATTATGGTGTTCAAATCTCCAATTTATAACGCGAGCAGTTACTGGTGTTAATCTCACCTTAGCCTTTGGATTTTTATTTGAGATTAATTTGATTAATTTAAAAAAAAAATTGGAATGTGATTCTGCCAACCAGTGGGTGGTAATTGGATGTTAACGGTTAAACCCTCTGACTCTGTTTATGAAGGGATAATTTTGTGTTTTGGATAAACAAATTTCGTATGTATAGGTGTACATCAAATGTAGGTTGAAAAAAATATAGCAGAATATTTATGTGCAGGCTATTGGAAGAAAATTTTTTAATTTGGTTATTTACTCATGGCCACCTAATAACAAGGATGTGTGAGATCAAACTACAACTTTATCACCTCAACTTCAAAAAGAAATCTCACAATAAGAAAAACTATTTTTGGTCATGAAAAAAAGATTATAAATTTTCTTTTTCAAAATTGAGTTTATTTCTTCTAGTAGTTGCATTTATCAAGTTGTAATAAGAAATTACATAACATTCTTCGAGATACAAAGAAACATTTGCAATATTCCTGTGAGATCAGACTAAATGGACCTGAGTTAATTGGCACAAACAGATGAGATATCACTTGCTATTAACAGGACTCATGGGACATTAATAAGAATGTTAGAATATTAAGCATTTCAGATTAAAACACATTGGATTTTCAATAAAATAATCTATTATTTACAATTTAACTAACAAAGATTAAAATGAAGTTTATACAATGACATAAAAGAATTGAAAATATGCAATAAAAATACAATAGTAAAACTAAAACACGTAATCCTAAAAAAAGTTGAATATAAATAACAAGTCTTATAATACAGAAAGCTTACAATGACACATTTGACTCCTTTTTTTCACTTTTTAAATCAATTAATACAATAAATTCCAATGTAACATTTAAACACATTTTCAACCGGCCTTAACTGAGATCTGTAGGCCTTGAAATCAATGTTAACAAATAACAATTATAGTGTGGTCAAAGACTAGGAAAAATGATGATTCTCAAATGCCTAAATAAAAAACAAAGAATAAGAAACAAGAAAAAAATCCCAAAAATATATAGAAATTGGATAAGCCGTATACAAAAACAGTCAAAAGTGTTTTTTTTTTGCTCTTCATCATTTATACACAAGTGTTTACAATATATTACATTTGGTTATGACAGTTGGTGACCCTTCCTGAGGTTTAGTACGATTGTCCTGGAGTCCCAATCTCTAAATATATATATATTAAAAAAAGAGTCCACTTTGGATACAATAAGTTACATGACTTTTACAAGCTATACATATATTACATATAATTTTCAGGTATCATCACCAAATATACAAATCACAAGCGTTTTACACTAATAAATAATAGTCCCTAAGTAAAAAAAGGAGAAAAAAAGAAACATTAAACACAAAAAAAGAAAACTGAAATATTACTCTGTCTCCGAAATTTTTTAGGAGAGGATACCAGTTCTTTCATACTTCCTTAATTTATTTCATTTTTATTTTTAAAGGCACTGACATGTTAAAGGGAATTGGAAGAAAATATTGATTGCACAGCCGAATATTTGGTGCGGAGAATAGTGGACAGCCTTCACTTAGGCCGTCTGAAGTATCTCAAAACAAGGTAGCCGAGTAGTCTAAAGACTATCAGGAATAGAATGAGCACTAATGTATTGGCCCACAAAGGTAGCGACGCTCCCTGAGAAGAGAGAATATCCACTACTGGTATGTGTGTAGAATTTTTACAGACTTCAAACTTTGACTGTGGTGCACATCTAGAATAATTTCAAATTAGAAAAAACAATCTTTGATTTAAGGAAAACAAAATTACCAAATTAGACTGATTACTTACAGAATTTTGGCCCCATCACTAAATTCGACGATTTGCATGTTCTGGTAGGCATAGTGGACCATGCTGAGGTACTGCATCCACTTGAGCCATGGTGGAATGTTTGTTGCAAGGTAGCCTCCGAACAACTGTGTGGCCAGAGTGTAGAGGGCACTTATTGTTATCGAAACCTGCATGTCCATGCAGCAGGCCCCAACGAAAAAACCGACGCTCTTCAAAAGAAAAAGAAAATAAATTAGATTTTGAATAAAATTGCGTTCTGCCAAAACATGTACTGACCTGTGCTACAATAGTGTTAAGAAGTAAAAATCCTAAAAGTGTAATGAATACAGTTGGGCTGTGCAGACCAAGCATAGGGTAGGAAATGATGTGGTACACAGCTGGCAGTGTTATGGTTAATGGAAGTTCTCCGACCATCTTGGCGAGATAATACGCAGACAATCTGTAAGCGCCTGACTGTCTTTCTTTGTTTATCACTTCTCTTTCTGGCGGAACTGCAAAGAAAAGCAACATAAACATTTTCGTTTGCTTTGTATAGTTAAAAAAAAAACTATCAACAGGATAGAAAAATTTAAATGGGCTACAGTGTTGGAAGAGATACTCCAACTACTTGAAGCCTTAAAATAGTGGTTAAACAAGTTATTTGTTCTCTTAAAATTTGACACTTTATATTTGTATTTAATAATATTACATGTATAAAAGGTTTTATAATAATTTACTATGTTTATTTCCATACTTTTTATGTTATATACTACTCTACTTTACATGCAAACAAATCAGAAATAAATAATGATTTTAAAAAATCTTTAAAAAATACCATGATTTTTAAAAGAGCAAATAATTAAACTTACAAGAAGAAAGAGCACCAAAGTGTGCGAAAAGCATCCAATAGGTAGTTGAGAAAAACATCCATCCTTGGATATCATGGAGGCTTTCTTCTGTTCTTTGTAATTGGAACCAGAGGAGACCTGCCATTAATCCTAGGGCGACGGTTTGCACCCAGTTGAGCTTTGAGAGCATCCTAGGGCGAGCCTCTTGGAAATTCCTCTGACTAAGGACCTTGAATTGCGTCCAGAATGTGGTTGGCCAATGCCAACTCATGTCGTCATCGCTGCAACTGACTGATGAGGAAGCATGGCTCTGGTTGTCGAGCCAAAGCGTCTTTCCATCTTCCTCTTTCATTGCTATAGTAGTGTAAACTGGACTGTGTGATTCGTTAGTTTCACCGAGAGCGACAGTCATGCAAACAGGATCTTGGTTATGTTGGCTGTTGCCATTTTTGGTCCACATGTCTTGTGTGCACGGACATTTGCCCACCTGGCCATTGGAATTGATTTGAGACTCATTATAATTGTTAAGGTATTTATCACAAACGTTGTTTTGCCCAAAGTACTCAGGAAGTAACTCTTGAGGATAATCAGGTCTGAGTCTTGCTTCACGGCTAGCTGAAATTATCTTCTCCTTCATTTCTTCACTTCCTTTCACTTGCTCCACTGTAATAATAAAAATAGGTTAAAAACAAAATAATTAAAATATAATATTTTAACATAACATTATTTTTTTCATACAAATAAAATCAGCAGGATTGTAGTGAGGGACTACAGTGAGGCCGATCCCGTTGAAGAAATCAACGACCCTGTGTGTATCGCCGAAGTAAGCAGTCTGGCCATTACAGAGCAGCAAGAGCTTGTCAAACATGTGGAATATCTGCGACGATGGCTGGTGAACAGTCACAACAACAGTCTTTCCTTCCTTTTCAGCATACCTTTTAAGGCAGCACATCAGAGAGTACGCAGAATGTGAATCGAGTCCTGATGTCGGTTCCTGTCAATGAAAATTAAGAGTTACTTTAACAATGTACAAACATGTACTGAGATGAAATATTTTTGTATTTATAATTAAACTAAATTTTAATTAGTTTAATTGGAAGAATAACAAAATTGGAGGGTGTTCAAACATAGAAGTTGACAACATAATGCCAGAAGTTTCCAGAAAATCCCATGAGATAGCATATAATTTGACTTTCGCTCAAAATTAAATAAGAAATTATTAATATTTTAAACTTAATTGTGTAATTAATATTGTAGGAATTTTGCACCTAATTGTCTGATAAAGGGTAATAAAACAAGCTTTTCCATTTTAATAGAGTGCAAACTACATAGACAATCTGTTTGATCTTTAAATACAGCAATATAATTTTATTTCTGCTTACAGTATATTAAATTAAACAAATTCAAATTGAAAAATTGGTTTGATGTTTGTCCTAATTGTTTTGTTATTGTTAGTTTGTTTATGCATGCTTTACTTACATCCAAGAGCATGAGACTTGGGTTTGTGAGTAGTTCGCAGGCAATGTTCGCCCTTTTCTTTTCTCCGCCGGAAAGGCCTCTTTTGATGTAATCACCGATAACTAAAAAGCAAAATAAATCAACCATGTAAATTTAGAGAAACACGAGCCATAAAAAAAGAGTATTACTTGTATCTTGGCAGTTGTTGAGATCTAGTACATCTATAATATGGTCCACATATTGCATTTTTTGTGAGTAAGTTAAAGTGTCCGGTAACCTGAGTAATGCAGCATACTGAAAATGGAAGAAAGAAAAATTAATACTTATTTCAGGGTTGAGGGAAGGACAAAATTTCAATTTTAATACTCACCTCAAGTGTTTGTCTTAAGGTAAGGTCAGGGAAAAAGACATCTTGCTGCAAAACGTAGCATATCCTTCTTTTCCATCTCTTGCTCATCCTTTCTCGATTCAGTCTGATGTTTCCGGCGTCCAGTTTCACCCTCCCTGCCAAACAGTTCAAGAGCGTCGTTTTTCCGCAACCTACAACAACAAATGTTATTAGAGTCTGAAGAAATAGCCAAGGGGTACAAAAACAATAAAAAAGGATAAAAAAATAAGATTATCCCATAAAATATTATTATAATATAAAATAAGGTTATTGTTTTCCATAAACTGAGTTAATTTTTATAATTTTTTATTGTCCTTGCTTGATGTTTCAGTGGTGGTTGTACCAAACTATACCATAGACAGATCAGTATGAGCAGAAATAACCGAACTACAAGTTTTGTTAAATGTGACACTTTATATTATGGCCTGATGGAGTGATGAACTTGTCACTGGAAAATTTGTTTTGCCTATTATCACTGTTTTGGTCTGATATCATTACTGAAAATGGTGATAATCCAAAATACATCTGAAATAACAAACCTATAAAATATGCAGACTAAAGGTTTAGTTTTTTGTGACATTTATATTATGGTGTGCGGGGTAATGTTGTAGTTTGATCATTGATCACTTGGGTTTGCTTTGGTCCTCACCCATCACTGAAGATGGAGAGAAGCGAAAATGTATCTCATAGAAGAAAACTATATAATAGAGGAGACCAGCATTATCAGAAACAACCAATATTTTTAATTGAAAAAGTTAGTGTCATGAGCGGGATTCGAACCCGACGTTTGGTTCAATACACTGCTGCTCAAACAACTTAAGCTATCGTGACCTCGATCCACTGGGACACCAACTCCTCATTTCAACCTACAACCTTTCAAATTTTCCTCTTTTCTGCCATCTTTCAAATATTGTACAATCATTATTCGATTTTCAGTGACTTATGAAGTGGCAACGTGGAGTGTAAGTTATAATTTATATAAACATTAAAGATTTAGGAATCTGGTATGATACTAAATTAATGTCCAACCTTCAAATAGGCTTCTATAAAATTTGGAAAAGGGCATCCACATCACTAGGATTACTTTATAGATCCTTTCATGACTTGACAGAAATCACTCCTCTAATCTATCTTTATACTTCAACAGTCTGACCAGTTCTAGAATATGCTAGTTCTGTTTGATCTTCACCAATATCAACATCCAAATTTTAGAAAAAATTACAAGTGAAATTTCTGAAATTAGTCCCCTTCTGCAACAAATCAAGTTATTTTGACTTAGATTCTCTCCATGCAAGAAGAAATAAAAAGAAAGAAATAGAAAACAGTATTCTACTATTAAATTTCCCATACCAAATACACTTCTCGCTCTGTCATATACAGGATCTGGTCATATGCTACCAGATGTCTATGTATATGTGTATATTAAGCCAGTTTGAAGAGAAATTTGAGAGGAACTTGTACTACAATTAGTACAACTGGTGTATGTATATATGAGTATATGTGTGTGTGTGCATACATATATGTATATCGGATGTGCTGTTTGATTGTTGTTGTGTACATGTATGCATAATTTATTAATCTATTTACTATTTTTTCTGTATTCAAATATTGGTATCTCTATTATACTCGATGTTATTATTGTCAATGTTTACTATTTTAATGTTTTTCCTATTTTAAATGTTCTTTGTCTTTCTTGTAATAATTGTAATAAAATGGGCTATTGCTCGTAAATAAATAAATAAATTAGGATAATTTTATCTTTAGATATAATAATATAATACAGTAATAATATCAAGCATTTTAACTATGACACAAAAATTAGTTGATTTCTGTTTTTATATTTTCAAATATTCTAGCTTATTCTATGTAATGAGATTATTTTATATTTATAAAATAATCTTCAAATTCAGTACTTGTTAGCCATTTAAGACTACAAAGCTCATCAAAGATTTCATATAAATCTCTTTCTTATAAATTGTTTATAGCTGCAGAACCCTAAAATACCAAATTTAATGTTTTATATTGGGTTGTCCGGAAAATAATGCAGGATTTTGGTATTAAACAAAAAAAAAAAGAAACTAGTTACTTTAAAGCAATGTTCTTTAATCAAAATAATTTCCCATACTCTCAATACATTTCTCCCAACGTGTTGGTAACTTATTAATTCCGTCTGAGTAGAATTCAGAATTTTTAGAATTGATAAAGTCAATAAATGCATTTTCCAGTTCCGTTTGATTTTTGAATATTATGTGTTGTAAGTAGTGGTCCAGGTGTCTAAAAAAATGGTAGTCAGTAGGCGAGAGGTCCGGAGAGTAGGGTGGGTGAGGCAAAGTTTCATAGCCAAGCTCCAATAATTTTTGTGACGTTACACGTGACACATGTGGTCGAGCGTTGTCATGCAACAAAATGGGCCCTTTCCGATTGACCAAAGAGGGCTTCATTACTGCCAATTTCTGATGCATGGTATTAATTTGGTTACAGTATGATTCAGCATTGATGGTTTCGCCAGGATTTAAGAAGCTGTAGTGTATTAAACCAAATGAAGCCCACCATACCGTAACCATTACCTTTTTTTGATGAGTTGGGGGCTTTGGAAAATGTATTGGAGCTTCTCCTTTGTCGAGCCACTGTCCAGAACGTCTAGTGTTATCGTAGAGAATCCACTTTTCGTCACATGTAACAATTCTGGCCAGAAATGGGTCATTTTTGTTTCGACAAAGAAGTGATGCACAAACATCAAAGCGCTGATTTTTTTGGCGATCGTTTAATGAGTGTGGAACCCAATTTTCGAGTTTTTTCACTTTTCCAATCGCCTTGAGGTGGTCAGCGACGGTCGTTTTACTGACTTTGAGTTGCTCTGCAAGTTCTCGAACAGTTGTTTTGGGGTTTTCTTCCACCACTGATCGCAGAACATCATCATTAAGAGAGGAAGGCCTTCCACGACCTTCTTCATCTTCAAGGCTGAAATCTCCCTCCCGAAATTTTTTAAACCACCTTTGCACAGTGCACTCATTAACACAACCCTCGCCCCAGACTTGGTTAATGTTTCTAGCCGTTTGGGCTCCGCTTCGGCCGAGTTTAAACTCGTAAAAGAAAATCGTACGAAATTCTCGCTTTGACATTATAAGGATGACTGAATTATTTCCAAGTAGCGGAATGCTACAGAGGTAAACAAACAATATCATTTGGAAGAGGATTAATAAGTGTTGACATTCATACAAATGAGTAATCCTGTAAACGTAAACAGAATATTTTATATAGATTTTTTTTAATGAAAACTTAAAATCCTGCATTATTTTCCGGACAACCCGATAATTTAAAGAACGACATCAAGAACATAGACAAAGCATGCATTATTCACGGTTGGAATACGATGGATTGTCGGGATTGTTCTCTTGGCTCAGTAAATATTTATACGTTTGCCTTGTCGAAACCCTCCCAGGTGAAAGCGCATGAGGAGGGCTTAATACGTCACACAGCTAAAGTGCAAACATGATAAAAACTTTTGTTAAACTCTGTCAAGTTTTGCCGCATCTATATGGCAAAAAATTCAAAAATGATTTTAATAATTGGACTAGCAGGATGAGCAAAGATTTAACAATTAATTCTATGTTTCAATGAGTAAGCAGAATTATCTCATGGTCAAATGTGACCATATCTGCCAGCTTCTTAAGAGGTTTCTCAATGTATAGTTAGAACAACTTGTTTAATAATTAAAATTGCAGAGAGAGAGAGAGAGGGGAGAGAGAGGAGAGAGAGAGAGAGAGTGAGAGAGAGAAGGAAAGAAAGAGGGAGAGAGAGAGAGAGGAGAGAGAGAGAAGAGAGAGAGAAGAGAGAGAAGAGAGAGAAAAGAGAGAGAGAGAGAGAGAAGGAAAGAAAGGGGGAGAGAGAGAGAGAGAGAGAGAAGGAAAGAAAGAGGGAGAGAGAGTGAGAAGAGGGAGAGGAGAGAGAGGAGAGAGAGAGAAGAGAGAGAAGAGAGAGAAAAGAGAGAGAGAGAGAGAGAGAGAGAGAGAGAGAGAGAGAGAGAGAGAGAGATCCAATGTTCATTCAAACTCAGAATGCTCTGTCTATGTGTTGTTTCAAATTTTTATTTAAAAATTATTTAAAAAAATGATTTGTGATGACACAGAGAGAAACCTTTCAAGTCCATTTCTCCAGCTAACAAATAAGCATGCAATCAAATTTACATGAGTCAGATACCGCTGAAATCAGGCTAACGGACCAGATCCATCTGATAAAGTGAAAGAGAGAAGATATGAAAAAAATAGCGAAAGAGTCGTTGAACCCAAGAATGCAAGGGGCAAATGGGTATAAAAAAAATTCATAAAAACCAGCAACCTTGTCATCACACCCTAAATATAGAACGCATTTCGTTTTCACTCTAGACTGCATAAACATCCTGCTTTGATTAAATTGAGGTTTGAAGCGTTTGAAAATTAGGAGAAATTCCCACCTTGTAATAGGCGATTAGGAAATATTTCAGTTTTATCAGTGATTTTATCGTATAAGTTGTTTTTTTAAGACCTAAACAAAAATGACATAAGCCAATTTTTCAACGATCAATTTAACCATACACAATTTTAAAAGAATTTTTTATACACTCAAGGAAAATAATTGTTAAATTACATTGTTAGTATTTTATTTTGCTTCGTACTATGTCATACCAAAAACATTTAGTGATTGCATATTTTTTCACTGATCATCTAAAAATAAAAATATGTATATAAAACAAAATGAAAAGCATTAAATTATTTTGATTAATTTAATAATTTTTGTTAACATATGAAAAAAATTTCAATAAAAGGATTTTTCAACAATTAAGCTATAATTTAAATGTTTTTCTTTAATAATTTTTATAACACCATCATATTAATCATTTTGATTAATTGTTAATTTTAATTAGAATTAGTACTTTTACAACACATACTAATAATTAAATATAATAAATAAATAATAATCGTTTTTGTTTGTATGTTAATACAGAATTTTTGTTTTATTTTTTACCTTTTTTTGAGTAATATTTACTAAAAATTAAAAGTTACAGTATTACATGTTGCAAATTATTTTGCATTCTCTTATTGATCTATTTTTGATAAATAAATTTAAAATAATGTTTTACAATAATCTACTTTTATTTAGACAAACAAATTCA